TTTGTTTATGCACCAGCCATGATGTTCTAAGTATTAGGAGAATATTAGCTACAAGCATAGGAGTTCCTCTTGTTCTATCATAGTAGAGCGTGACTATTTGCAGTGCTGCTGTCAGCACCTAAGTTTCGGCAGTAGTTTTCCCTCACTGTAAATGAAGCATGTTAGCTACCCTTTCATTAACAAACAAATTTAACTCATTTAACATTATTCTAGTGACGAATGAAAATGTGATGATTTAGGTAACTAGGTAAAGCTAGTTAACTTATGTGGGAATGTCTGTTTTTTTTTGAAATACACAAGGTGCAAAGAGAAAGAACCCCCCCCCCCCCCAAGATTTTTTTCAAGATCTTCCTACAGTAAGGTGAGCACCTATAGATGCTGACGGGGGATAAGAGACTTCTGTTCCATTTATTCCCTGCAAAAACATTAAACTAGCCTAGAATCCATACTTCTTTGTATTAATTACTATAGTAAAGTTTTCCAGGACACAAATTGGTAACTTGAGCCATTTGAGTTCTTTGTGAGTAAAGGGATGATGTAGTTTCATAGAATTGGAGGCGAGAGAAAACGTAGTACAGTTCTGGTGGGTGGAGAGCTGCACACGGGAGATGTTCTTGGGATAGCAATAGGGCTAACAGGGCCGGCCTACACCCTCTCTTGACGGGGAGGGTGCCATGGATCACCACCCTTGCTGAAAGAGCCAACCTTTTGCATGTTAAGGATCTGGAGAACTGTCACTAAAGCAACTCACTCACCCCCAGAAGGAAGTATGAACGAAAAATAGCAAGAATGATTTATTGCAATTCCAACTAAGACGCTAGGAAGAAGTGGCAGGATAAAAGCAAATGCTAATGAGCCATGGAAAATTGCTGTTAAGGAAACCTCTTACGAAGGGCAAGAGTTCTCCCCTTGGATACAGCAGGAGGTCACCGAATGGCTGTTGTGACTCAGAGCGGAGATGCCTGCACAGCCCTGGGGCAGGACATGAGCCATTAGTGGCTGCTGAGGAAAGAGGGCACGAACAGGACGTGCATGTAGCGATACTGCATTGGAGTATGATGGCTTTGTACAGTTTGCGGCTCATAAACATTGAGAAGGATGCGAGGTCTTCATTAGTTATTAAGCCTTTATTGCATTTTCTTTGTATCTGTTTGTCCAGTTGCCTTTTGAGCCAACACACCTTTTACAAGCCATAGTACTTCATATTATTGAAATGGGAAGAATTGCCTCATCCTTGTATTTGGGCTGGCCAGCTGAGAGTTTTATTTAACACCCACTGGCCAAAAGGCAAATAAAACTGCTTCTTCTATTCATGGTCACAGAGAGGCCTAGCCTATTCCTTCCTCTTACCTCCCTCCTGCTTCTCTTAGCCTTCTTCCTGTATAGCATTTTGCATTAAAATCATTCTCTTAAATCCTAGTTCAGCACATGTTCAAATTTCCTTCTTTCAGCTGCAAAATTGCCGTATCACCAATTTTCCCTATGGGGATGTGTTGGCAGGACAGTTAAAAGGAAAGCCAAACCACTAAATGTTCTTTTCAGCTTGAATTTTGAGGGCAATAGGAAGACTTCAAGCAAACTACTTTCAGTTTAGACAAAAAAAAAACATTAATGGAACAACATCATTTGAGTAGTTTAATTATACTACCTCATGCCGAGCAAGTAACAACAGAACTGCTAAATTACTAATCAACTACTTCAGCATTTTTTAAAAGGATAGAACTTTTTGAAGAGGCTTATTATTGAAAGCATAAAAGTCTCAGGAGCTGAACACACTTGGATCCTGCTACAGAAGCCTCTGTGCTGCTTCTGTAAGGCAACAGGAAAGTAGCTGTTTCCAACATACTGATTTTACTCCAATCGCAAAAGCCAGGAATTCTCTTTCTGCCCACCTCCCTTCTTACCCTGCAATCACTTTTTCTATTTTGCCTTCTACTCCCACGGGAACTGCCTGGTACTTACACATCATGATGTTAGAATATAGATCTTTGTTAAAGAGACTATGAAATGATTCAGCCAACACCAAACTAAAGCATCAATCTTTATTTATAAAGTAAATTACAAAATAGATAAGGTAAATTTACTTAATTTTAGCATCTGAAGGTGGTTTTCATTGAATACATAGACACCGTATATTAAAAGTTTCCTTTATCCATGTGTTTATCCAAGTATTAGAGCAATTATTACCTTGATCAGTTTTACAACCCTCTGATAGTGTTTTAAAACATCACATTGTCCCTACCTTGCAACAATAAACGTTTCCAAGATAATTACCTGTCATCTTAATTAACAACTATTTAATAGCTTGTGAGTTAACAGCTGCATTACTTCTGGGCTTTATGAAGGCCAACAATTTTGAAGGGACACTTTCAATTATTAAATGATCAGAGACAGTAAAGGAGTAACTTACTTTAATGCCCTCATTTTGTGCTGGCTCTGAGCCTTCATTAACAGTAATAGTGTTACATGAGGCAACTATGCAGATGTAAACTTGATAGATCTCACAAAAAGATCAGATACTTCTTATTGCTTTGTCAGAATAGCTACAAGAGGCCTGGAGAGGCAGTCGGCAGTGCAAGACTTCATATAATTCTCTTTTAGGGGAAAGGTGAGGGGGAAGTATGCTCAGGACGCGACTGCTGGCTGGTCAGGGGTTTGTACACCCACAGAGAATATTCTCAAGTAAGGTAACTTACAATGCCTGGTTTGGGCCAAACTCTAAAGCAGCTCATTATAAACTCCCTCGCATAATCACTTAACCAGCTCTTGCCATCCTCCAGATTAAGCTTTCTACCTCCTACCCTCATCTACCTGGGGCAGGATTAGGAAAAAAAAAAAACCCCAAAACCCAAACACAACATGAACATAACCGTATCAGGTCAAACTGTTCATTATTTAAAACATTCGGTATTAAAAAGCTGAACTTCTTTACTGGCTCAAATAAGCGTAAAAATGTATGTGCGCTCTTCGTATGGCTGACACATGGCCAGGAATACTAAATTCAAACAAAAAACCCTCTAGCAGTGATTTTTAACTGCTACACTCAAAAGGTTTTCCTTAAAAAAAACCCTAAACCCACAAAAAAAAAAAAAACCAAACCCAAAACCCAAAGTGAATTAGGTGTGCTGAAAAGATTTAGAGTTCAACTAAAAATACATTTAATTACCGTGCACAATGAGCTGTGCATGCATTAGCCGTGTTTAAAAAACGGTGACACTTGCCTGACAGGTAGTACATAGAAGAAACACTCCAAAGACCAGCTCCTTGCCCTGGGGAGGAGGCAGGAGGGAGAAAAAGAACACAGTAGCTAAGGGCAAGCGGGAGATCAGCTGAGGATCAAAAGCTATTGAATTGATGTAGTGTGTAAGATTAAATGAAAAAAGCTGAGGTGTCAAATTTCTACTGGATATAAAAAACCACAGTAAAACCAACAACTGTTGCAATCTTCACATTATATAGTGCAATCTCAGATGTCAGTAACAAGCTAGTATCTCCAAACAAGATAATATATAAGATAAAACAAATTTTATCAGGAACTAGTAGTGTCAAAGCATTGTTTCCCTTCAAAAGTAGGTTAAAATTTATCTTCCACCAGGTAAACACGTGATTCAGCTATATAATGTGTACACCCAGCACCTATGATAATATGCAGGGAATCAAGACTTGCAACTCCCATCTAGCTTAAAAAACAAACAAACAAAATTCAAAACCCACAAAGCTCACATACGAGACACTAAAAAGCAAGTCCCCACTGGGGAATATAATCTATCCACCAGTATTTGACTCATTACACAATTTTAAATATTTAAGGTCATCCAATACTTGGTTCCCACATCTAATTTTTCTTTAATCCACTTATTAAAATTATCTATTTTTCCTCTTCCTATTAAACACATTACTCATGGTTCAAACAAGTTTAGACTATTCTGGCTGATTTTAGTATTTTGGACAAAGGAAGGGGGAAGAAATTTAAAAAAAAAAAAAAAAAGACAAAATCCTAACCAGGTGCTGCCAGCAGTTGTTCAAGACCTAGCTGGATTTTGTTACAGATTTAAGTCACTACTAAGTTCAAACATTTAGGAAAAGTCATTTTCAGGATACCTTGAAAGTTAAAATTGCAGTTGATACTGCAAACACACTAGGATCTCAACAATAACTCACCATTATGAAGCAAGTCTATTTCAATTTTTACTGAATTTACACAGTTTTAGATCCAAGTGCACACATAATCAATTATTTATTAGAAACTTTAAGCATAGTGCTTTGAAAGCAGCTCCATAATCTACTGAGTATACTAACTCATGCACTTTTAATCACCCTTTACTTGTCATCCAGTACTTAATATGTAAGGCTTATGAGTGGTACCGAAGTCCGGAAAAGCCATAGTGGTTTTATGTCAGATTTCTTTAAAAGACAATTCCATGAAATTAGTTATAAATTTGAAAGGACCATGCTTTTGCGTGGGAAAATATCCAGCTATTACTGAACACTGACATTAATTGACGGATAACTGATTTAAGTTTACATTTCTATTAAACAAAACAACAACAACAACAACAAAACCCAATAATGCATCATGTCAAAACCAGAAGAAAACCATCTGTGGTACTACTATCCGTAAGAGCTACAAGGACAAATAAAGATTTCTCTGGGACAATGCTATATAGTCCTTCAGCTCTCCTCACATGGTAAGTCTCAGGGGTTTCAACAGGCTACTCATAAGAATACAGGTTTGTTATCTAGGCATACAGCTGCAACTTACCCACAGAATACATGGGCTTAATAGTCTTATGTCTGCAAAGTTTATGATTGCATGTACAGCTATTAAGTAATGGATTCTAATTTAAAGTAAAGGGGTACTAGCTTAGTTTTCCTCTTCTAGCTTTAAAATAATTAGCTCTTCCACATGTCATAAAACATGGCCAACAGAAATATAATCATGTAACAATATAAAAAGTGTTGAGGTCAGAAGAGTAAAAAGAGCTTTTTTTTTTTCCCTAGCATGCATGAATGGAATGATTTCAGTTCATTACCAAAAGCCAGCATTTCATTTCTTACTATACTACTTTATAACAAATGCAAACAATAGTTTCTAATCACTAGGTGTTTCAGTCTCTGCTGGACCTCTAATCAGTCTTCGTATTCCCCTCTTCCCCGCAGGACCTTTTGGCTTAGCAAAACTTTGTTGGTGAGCGTGTTGTTTTGGATGAACTTCTTCATAAAGAAAGTCAGCAGTTAACTCATCACCATTATCTATTTCAATCTGGGAAAAAAACCCCAGCATTCATCATATTCATCTTAAAGACATATTTTAAAACATTTAGAAATTTTGCTGAAGCTCTTAAATACTATTTTAAAACCAGATGTGCAATAATGTTCAGAGTCTAGCATGAAGTGTTCTCCAACTTGTGCCTAATGCCCTCAGCAATCTTGGATAGTTTTTCTGAGAATCCACTATACTCTTACCAGTATTAAGTGTGATTTGACTTAATTATTTTTCCTGAAATATAAGCACAACTACACAGTACATATGCCAAGAAACTTTCTCTGTCCCAAGCTTTAGCATAGCGTACATGTGGACAGACTTTTTAGCAGGGCCTGCTGTGATAGAACAAGGGGTAATGGTTTTAAACTAGAAGAGGGCAGATTCAGACTAGATATAAGGAAGAAATTTTTTACAATGAGGGTGGTGAAGCACTGGAACAGGTTGCCCACAGAGGTGGTGGAGGCCCCATCCCTGGCAACATTCCAGGTCAGGTTGGACGGGGCTCTGAGCAACCTGATCTGGTTAAAGCTGTCCCTGCTCACTGCAGGGGGGTTGGGCTAGATGACCTCTAAAGGTCCCTTCCAACCCAAAATATTTTATGATTCAATAATTCTAATACTAACTAGAAGTACACATTCCGTGTGGAAACAAGTGCTTATTTACTCCTCTGCGAAGTAGCTTCCTTAATAAAACATAAGAAAGCAGCATGTGATCTTTCAGAACCACAATTTCCTTCTTTATTCTCCCCTCAAAAATAAAAACTTTTAAAATGTAGAGATTACATTGGGACAATTAAGAATGAAAATATTTCACTAGAACATGCTTTAAAAACTAACTGTAAAAGCAATGTGCATATATATTGTTGTCTCTTGAGATAGAAGGGGAGGAGTACAAACAGCTTATATGATTAGCTGGCTACTGCAACTCACCAAGTATTCAAGCCAGGGAAAAGCTAAAATATATTTAATGAACAAAAGGGGGGTTGTTTTGGTTTTTAAAATTTAAGCATATAAACCTGAATGGAAAGCAAGTACTGTTCTCATGCCAAACCCCACTTTTGAATTGCAGGAATTTAGAATTCAGATAAATGCTTGGCCCTGCTGTGCTGTGCATTCAGTACTTCATGGCCTGCCAACCATAGCACGTGACTTACTTGCCAGCCATGGTATTGCTGTTACAAGTACATGCTTCAGAAATATGCCTACGGGAATTTCAGGAGTCACATTGTGCATTTATTTCATTGTAGAAAGGAAATTTCTGAGAAATAGTTACATGTAAAAACACGTAATGATAATCTACTTAAGTCATGTCACCACAGTAAAAATGGTTAGTATTAACTCTGCTATTTTTTAGGTAGACATAATCCCCACAGAAACCAAGCCTCAAAGTTCTTCTAAATTTAAAGCACAAGTGTTAAGCATGTAACCATAGGTCACATATTCCACAAACAGATCATTCCTACGCTCTCTGCTCTGGAGGTGAGAAGCAACTTACTCTTTCATGCATAGCAGTAAAATCTATACAATGTGAAGAGATCAGCTTACTTGCAAATCCTTGTTTGCCCCATCAAGGACTCCTAAGATAGCAGTTTAAGTTCCAGAACTGCAGCATGAAATTATTTTGAAAATCCATAAATAACCTTGGCTTTAAAGGAATTTAGTGTTCAACAACAGCAATGTGTTGTGGTCCAAAATATGACATGCCTTTTAGTAAAAAATCATGTTACTTCTAAATAGTCCTTCAAACTACTCCCTTGATGCACAAGGATATGTTTATTAAAGCTATGAAAGTGTAGAAATTATGAACCAGAGAAAATCCTTCATGACTTAACTCTGTATCTGAAGCTTTATCAACACGTATTTCTTGTTCAGGACAAACTTTAATAGTTATACAACACTTTTCATTGTTTACAGAAGGTGGTGGCAGAGATAGTTATAGTTAGATATTAAGAAGGGAACAGAGGGATGGAGAAAATACCAATATACTCAGTGTACTTACCTTTCTAATTATCTGCATCCACAACTGTCTTTCTACAATTTCTAGCAGTGGACTTTTGCAACTAGAGTAGAGCATTCGTTCTCGTATACTACAGGAATACCCTGGCATAGAGTAGATGAAAACTGCAGGAAAAAAACCCACAAATCAGACCATAACTACACTCCATCAAAACCTGTATCATAAAATCATTTACAGCAGAGAGGCACTGCAAATCAACTATGCAGTCTGAAAGGGAAAAATGTAACACCATTCTGGATCTTTTTTGCTTCAGCAAGTGTTTCATTTCAAATGGGGGATCAGATTATGGCCAGTATCTTCATGTTTTCACATGACAACTGATTTATGGGTGTTCATAATAAAAAGGGGTAGCTCACTACTTTCTAAACATAAGGACTCTTCAGAAGTCATTTTCACAACCAAGTGACTCTGAAATTTATGCTCATGCTGATAGACAGATTATTTTTATGACACATCTTTCTCTCTGCCTCAAAATTACTAAAGTACTTGAAACAAGCCAATGAAATTTCATATTGGGAAATTTTCTCATACCTATGGATTCCAAATAGTCTCCTTCATGGGCATGCTTGTACAGGAAAAAGTGGTAGCGCGCAGCATCCGTTGGAATTCTTTTTGGCAAATCCTTAAGTTCAGTATGAAGTGTGTTGGCCAAAATAATAGTTTCATTTTTCATATCAATTTGCTGTTAACAAAGCAAACCTGAATATAGTTAATGCACAGAAAGCAAACCAGAGAACATGACAGGATGGAAAAAAATTGAATTAATCTAATACAGAATGGTAATTTATCAGTGTACGTCATCAACACACATTGTTTAATGTGCGGGTAATCTATTTTATACTCACTATTAAAAAATAGTTAAAGTATTTTATACTTGCCAGTTGTACATAATTCAGTTTCTTATTTTTCAATTTCTCCAAAGCCTGAATAGCTTCTTTAGCAATGGGGAATGCTACTCCTTGCAATGTTTGATGCTTGGTATCTACACCAACGTCCGTCTGTACCTGGAACACAAGTCAATTAGGATGTAAACAGAAACCTTTGCAAGCATTCGTTTGGTTTCATACAATAACTGATGATGCATTGCATATGGTTACACACAGTTAGCAGTAGCTGTTCTGAGAATAAACTACCCTAAAACATCATCCCCATATACAACTGATTTGCATTTACTAATTTACAGGTCGCATTTGCTTGCTTAGCTGAAAACAGTTTCATATCTCTGAAACAGTTAGCTTTGCAGAGCCAATAGAATCATCAGAGGGAAAACTGGCTCAAGTGCCAGTGAAGAAACTGAGTTAAATTCTGGTATAAAGATCCAATAAGCCAGGAGGAAAGAGCTTGATTTTCATATGCCGTGTTATACTTTTGAACTGACAATATTGCTTATAACTTTGTTGTATCTTGAAAAATTTTAGATCAAAATGTACAAATGTCATTTCTAGCGAGTCAATTTTTGGAGGAAGAGAGAGAAATTATATCTTATGTGACAAACTGATCTTCTTGAAGGAAAAGCAAAGCAACTTCCCTCCCTCCTGCTTTAATACCCTCCCCCCAAAAGCCTATACCAAAAAGAAAGCAAACAAACAAAATCTTAATTTTTGAATTCTAGAAAGTCTAACACAAAGTAAAAAAATCCAGGGTAACTGCAAGCTAGACAACTGTTCATCATCCAGTTATGTTAGTCACAAATTATTTGAGAGAAAGCAACAGTTATTTTAAAGCCATTTTTTCAAGAATTTATGTTTGTCTTAACATTCATGCAGTTTCTCTCAAATTGGGCTCTGGCCTCCAGTTTTCCCAAGTCTGAACGTACTGTCTAAGTATTAGCTTTTGAATATGTTGACTTCCTTTTATAATTTAACAAGTACATTTAACATTGGTGAGGAAGCAGCAAAAGTCAGAAAAGTGTACAAAATGGAAAGTGTGGGTCTTAGATCTATCAACTAGATGTTCAGTTTTAATTAAAAAGATATGCTAATGAAATATGAAAAAAACTGATTAAAAAAAAAAAAACAAAGATACTTGGGGCAACACTAAATTATACTCCACATTGTAAGAACAGCTTGTCAGCAATAAGAGGAGAAGAAAGCAGGTGGAAGAGCTGACTTTTGTAGATTGACAAATTTATGAAGAAGGTTATATAAAAATATTTGCAAAATATATCCACATAAAAGCCTGATAAATAAACATAAAATAGGCATCACAAAAATAATAAACCATAATAAAATACTATACTATATAAACCATATTAAAATACAAGTAGAAAAAAAACCCAAACATAAAAACCAGCTGTGAAGTGTGGGGACAGGCAAGGGAAGAGAGTAACCCAGCATAACTTCATATTTAAAAAAAATGAACAAAATCTACTTCTCCATACTGCAACATATTTCAGACCATTGAAGCAAAACAAAAACACCTAAGTCACATAAAAATATTTAAATTCACACCATAAGATTTGTTAGTGATGGCTGCTGAGTGGTGGATAAAATGGCAATGAAATTTCCTCTGAAGAAATTAAGTAACGTATGCAGGAGAAAAAAAAAACCTCTCTTCTACCTGTATGGTGATGGAGTTGAGCTAGCTACTACCATTCAGGAGCAAGATCCTGCAGGTCACACTGTGTATTTCTGAACATATCAGCCCAGTGGCCAGTCTTGGCAAAAAAAATCCAAACAAACCCAAAAAAGACCCAACACTCCCCATGCACAAATGAAATGGTATGAATTGGTAGGAAAAGAGTAGAGAACAGAACACATCATTATACACTGCAGATATCAGTAACATGCCTGCATCTTGAATGTAGTTCTGCCTTCCCCATCTCTCCAGCTCATAAATTATATAGAACTGGAAAAACTGCAGGGAAAAGCAAAAGTATCAGAAGTATGGAGCAGCTTCTTTAGGAGGAAGAATGACCTAGATTAGGACTCTTCAGTCCAGAAGAGATAAATGATACGGAATACAACAGAGGTCCATGGATATAGAGTCATAGAATGCTTTGGGTTGGAAGGGACCTGTAGAGGTCATCTAGCTCAACCCCCCCTGCAATGAGCAGGGACATCTTCAACTCGATCAGGTTGCTCAGAGCCCCGTCCAACCTGGCCTTGAATGTTTCCAAGGATGGGGCATCTACCACCTCTCTGGGCAACCTGGTCCAGTGTTTCACCACCCTCATTGTGAAAAATTTCTTCCTTATATCTAGTCTGAATCTACCCTCTTTCAGTTTAAAACCTTTACCCTGGTCCTATCACAACAGGCCCTGCTAAAAAGTCTGTCCCCATCTTTCTTATAAACCCCCTTTAAGTACTGAAAGGTGGCAATAAGGTGTCCCTGGAGCCTTCTCTTCTCCAGGCTGAACAACCCCAACTCTCTCAGCCTCTTCCTCATAGGAGAGGGGATCCATCCCTCTGATCATTTTTGTGGGCCTCCTCTGGACCTGCTCCAACAAGTCCATGTCTTTCCTGTACTGAGGGCTCCAGAGCTGGATGCAGTGGTCCAGGTGGGGTCTCACCAGAGTAGAGTAGAGGGGCAGAATCACCTCCCTCAACCTGCTGGCCACGCTGCTTTTGATGCAGCCCTGGATACAGTTGGCTTTCTGGGATACAGCTGGCTTTATCAAAGGGTAGGGGGAAACTGGGGAATAACTTAATGACTTTTCTCTGCCTTCCCCACACAATCTGTAGGGGTATCAGAATAAACTAGTAGATAGCAGGCAGTGGTTCTTCACACAGTACTTTGTTAAGCTATGGCATATACTGCCATAGGATCTATGGCCAACAAAAACTTTATGTGGATTTAGAAAAATGACAAGACTAGATGATGGATGAAAAACCCATTAAGAACAATTATATAGTAAGACATCATCTCTTGCTCAGGAAGATCCCTACCTGCAAACACTGAGGCAACAGAAGAGTATTCAAGGGAATTATCATGGCCGCCTTGCCCTCCTCTTACACCCCTCATAGATTTCTGCTGCTGTTCACTCAGGGACTTGACAGCACACTAAGTGATTCTTTGATCTGACCCAGTAAAATATTTCTTAGGGTAATTATGAAAGAATACACATATGGAAAACTCTTTTTTTTCTTTAAATCAGAAAGCTTTTAGTTTTCTGAGTCTAATTACAAGCTTCATAATGGTGGAAACAATTAAGAGAGAAATGACCTAAGTTAATGTATTGCAAGATGCTTCAAACAAAGCCAAAATGGCAGCAATCTACAGTTTATGTATCTCTGAAAAGCACAGCTATTGCTGTTGAAGTTTCATAATAGCACATAAGGTATTAGTCTGCATGAATCAGCTGTTAAACACAACGTATATAGCACATAAGAGATAATACTAATACCAGAAGTGATCATTGATACCACAGAAGTTTTACATTCATTAGTGGTTTGGGTTTTTTTTTAAAGCTGTTCAAGTAAAATGCAGTGTTTGACGATGATGAGTGCACTTCTATATGGGATTAATCAAAATTAGACATGGAAAATAACAAAACACACCACTGGAGAAAAGAAGTCAATAAACAACCAAGTTGCAGCAAAAGCACAGTAGAGTGAAAACATTAGAGAAGACACAGAGCTGCATTTAACACGATGGTTTGCTGGCATCCAGCTGCAGAAACAAACCGTATTTCAAACACATGTACCATGGCTGTAAAATACAAGCCTAGAGAACTAATAAGATAGCACATGACCTATTTTAAGACGTCTGAACACAAACAGTGATCAAGTGAAGGAAAAATGTGAGAAAAGAATCCTCTGAAACTTTTCAGTCACTAGCTAGTTGGCAATCATCAAATTAGCTGTCTAAAGGCATCTGTTAGAGGTTTTTCTATGAAGCATTTGTAGCAAAAGCAAATCGGTCTGTTAAAAGGACTAGCTACTTGTTTTGGATTTCTATTTTATTTTTATTGGAATTCCATTCACTTCCTCTCAGTCTTAAAGACAAATGCACTGGTGCTGGAAGCTGAGTGATTTTCCTCTAGGGATAAGGCTGCTGAAATACTCCTGGCAATAATTCACTGCAACAGTTGCTATTTTGTGTTTTCTCTACAATTTCTGCCACTATGGGAAGTGTATGTAGGCAATCACAGAATGTTTGAGGTTGGAAGGCACCTCCAGAGGTCATCTTGTCCAACCACCCTGCTCAGTCAGGGCCACCAGAGACAGTTTCCCAGCTCTCTGTCCAGATGGCTTTTGAGTATCTCCAAGATGGAGACTCCACAATCTCCCTGGGCAACCTGTGCCAGTGCTCTGTCACCCTTCACAACAAAGCATATCCAGTGATATTAAAAGCGTATTAAGGGTCAAAGTTCCAACAACTAAGCTCTGCAGTTGCGAGGCGTCTGACTCGGACACTGGGCCTTGCAAACTCAGCAAGATCCTGCCACTTCAGCCATCATCATCCTGCACCCTCAGCTCACTGACAGATAAATTTGTATTCTCATCCACTCAAACTTTCTGAAACTTTCCATTTTCTGTTCTGCCCTTTTTTACTGTAGAAAGAGTTTTTCCCTACGATACATTTGGAACTCTGCACCCAGTTTCCCACCCATGCTCAAAGACATTGTAGGTACCTCATTAATCTTAATTTGTCGAAGTTCCTCTTCTGCCGCAGTCAGAGGTGCAGGGGAGGACCGTGATATCAAATATTTCTTATATCCATTCAGTGAAACATCATCCTGAAAGCACAATATAAATATTGATAATAAAAGTTTTCTTCAAAGATGCTCTACACAGCATAAAAAAAGCAATTACTTCCCATACAGTTATGGTCATTTTATTTGAAAAGATTACAAGTGTAGGTGCATTTGCAAATTCAGCTCATCTTCCTGTACAGCAGGGTACACTGGGATGCTCTTGTACTGTGAGCAGCATTTCCACAAGCAGTCCCTAATTACCTTGCTAATTCAAAAATTAGCATAAACGAAGACTGCATGCATGAAGTTATTCAGCCTTCTTGGACAAAACCTCACAGAACTGCCACAATTCTAATTTAAAAAAAAAAAAAAGATCTGTTTTCTTATAGAATTCGCATGCTCAGACTGGTAGCTTATTGGTAGTTTTCTACCTAAAAATTGGAGACAGAAATGCTACCTTAGGACAGGGAATAAGCACATGATACTGCAAATAATTTAGGATGCAACGTCACAAAACTGATGAATTCTGATAACCATGCTGAGGAATTCGTTAATACTCAGTGTCAGTTCTGGCCCTCTCCAAAGAGGTTGATACCAGAGGCAAATACTGTTGTGTTTTTATAATTAAGGTGGTCACTCAGAAAAGGGCAGGACTTTATGCAATCATATGAATGTGATTTTATACTGAAGTTCTGAGCAGAAAGAGAAAGCTCCTTCTTAGTTCCTTCCCTTCTGAAAGAGACAGACCTTCCCTAATACAATTTCCAGTGCCAATATTCCATTATGTCTTGTTTCAGGAGCCCCGAGGTATCGAGGTTTGTACATGTGAAGTAGCAAGTGGGGCCATAACCAGGTTCCACCAGGGTAACAGAGCCAGTTGCAACTAAACCATCTTTGTGTCTAACAAAATAAAGACAGAGTAACCCACTGGCTGTTGATGATCAAGATTCTGAGTGAGGCTTGCAACTTGACTACTTTGAAGAAGCTGTGATTTTTACACAGATGAACATTAGAGGCCAGCTACAATTAAGCAGCTTATAAAGACACTAGACCCAACAATTTAGAGATACATTAAGCTGTAACATAATAAACTTGGAAAAAGTGAGTTACATTGACTTCATCCTGTAAGTGCCCCAAACACATTCTAAAATAACAGTAATAGACAAATGCAATGCTCCTTCCTTACAACTGAGATGAAAGCTCAGACTTGGCGTCTAGCCCTACAACTCAGAGCCCAAATTCCATGTATTACATAGACTGCTAATGGTTTGGTGCAAGTGGCGGTGAGGAATTAGTTGATTGAATGGACAAGAAAAAAATAACATGACCTCTGTCAGTAAACTCTCTTAGCAACTCAGTTATCTACTTCTCCAGAGAGGTTTCTTAGTGTGTTTGTTAGGATAATGAAGCCTCCATCACAGGCTAATGCTGAATATAACAAATTATTTACTCGGTGAGCAGCAGAATTATTAGCCTCATGTCCTTACGGACTTTTCTGTCCACCACAACAGCCCTTGTCTCTTCCACAGTTTTTTCCCCACTACAATATCCTCTATTCTTCCCCAAATCTCCAACTCCCTCCCTTCCTTCAGCACCAGGTCCCTGTGTCAATACTGACAGTGCTTTGGTTCAGATTTGTGCATATGATGAACTAATTAACAGGCCAAACACAAGATAACTGCTGCACTCTCTCTTTGCTGAAGGAGGAAAAGGGGAATGATAATTTGGAACTCTAAGTAATCATCAGTTTTCATGAAAGCTATAGGAATGCTGTATCTTTGAGAACTCTAACTTGTATTTTTTTAAAACTGGCAATGTATTAAGAAGTTAAGAGTGTCTGATGTCTGCCTGACAAACACGATGACATCACAACCACGTAAGACTTATTTCCCAAAGAAACCAAAGTAACACAATATCACCACATTTCCTTACATGCATAGCACGTGCAGGCTTTTAGACATCACTTAGAAGCTTGTTAGATTTCATACATGCACCTTCTAATTATCTTACCATAAATGAACAGTCAACTATTAGTATTTTCATTGAACAAATTAGTAGCTACTAAAATTCTGTTTCCATAAGTTAAGATAGCAGCCATGAACGTGAGTTACATTTTATGGTAAAATTCTGAAGAACTGAAGCTATATATACTTGGTTTAAGATAAAAACATTTGTTTTCAGATGTTAACAGCTGGCAGATAGATATTCTAGCCCAATTCCAATTCAGAACCATACATCCAAAATGGCTTGTGTATACAATTGGCCTGAAAGTTACAGCGTTGCAGCTTTTTGAGGATTCACATGCATGCACTGAGATTAAGAGATGCTCCTATTATTCCCAGATTATTTAGTTTTCATAGCCACTTGCAGCAAGGACTTCTTAGCCTGAAATTGTTAAATATACTTAGTTACTTGTTCAAATGAGAGCAATTACATTTTAACATTGTAATAATACACATAGCTTTTATCTCTTTTTACCTTAATCAAGAAAGAAGAGAAACACCACAAATTCATACCAGTAACATCAGCTACTATATTTAGTATTTAAAGTCAGTGTGCTGACTTGAAAAACATACCTGTACTGTTCCAAATACTTCATCCTTAATATGACCACCTCCAAATTCTTTCTTAAGCGTTGCTCGGGTTGCTGCATACAACATTTTTTGACGAACCTAGCATATCATAAAACATTTATGGTTTTGGTCCTTTTTTTTTTTTTTTCCTTTGGGGTACACAAAGAATTTAGCACATTGGTCTCAAAGTCCATTAACAAACATCTTTCTTGAACAAATATTTTAACCGTTGAAACTGCATTTTGAAGTTGTAATTCTTAACCAACTCCATGGAATGAGCTCTGGATCATGATACTAACACATGCTATTAAATTCTCAATAGCATGATACTATGCATTATTATCAAAGTAATTCCAAAACTAAATTGCAGCCTTAGTAAGAGTATGAGCTTTTTTTTAAATGGAAAGTAAAGGTCAACATAATCTTTACTAATTTTAAATGGGAAAACCCACAATTGTTTAGATCTTTTGCCACTGGTCTGTGTACTAATGGATACAACGGATAAAGAGCAGACTGCAAATAACTCATTATTTTTGATTTGATAGTGACTCCAGATAGTTTTGGTTCAACCACAGAGTGGAAAAATGAAATTTTCTGGGGGTAGAAGATCTAATGTTTGCTCCCTATCAACTTGTGTCTAGCATAGTCACTTATTCCTCTCTCAACAGTCCCATCTTCCCACCTTATTTCACCATCGTGCCATCCTCACCACAATACCTCACCTTGTCCACCTAATCTCTTCTATGCACTCTAACTCTTGGTCTCTTACTATTTTCTGCTAGTGAAAGTAGTAGGAATATGGGAATAGCTTTACTTTCTTATCTCACATCCCCAGAACCTGTACACAGTATCCTAGTTTCTCCTAGAAATCGTTAACTCTAACCTCAGTTCCCTCCCATGTTCCCTAACTACTGACTAAGAAACAGTATATTCTGTGGCAGGTCACAGATCCACAAGTGCCAGCTGAGCAGCCAGCATAAACAGCTTGAGCTCACACTATAACCCTTCTCTCTCTGGTAACACTCACTGAGATTTCTGTTGTATATCCTTCCATGAATTTTCATGAAACAATGACAGAAAGACAAACAAACAGGACAAAAACATTGACTCCTCCAGTCAGGCTAGAAATAAATCAGATCAGCTGCACTCCATCTAGACCCACTGATATTGCTCCTCAATCAGCTTCAAGAAACATGTTTTCCCAGTTTTCTTGGGGGAAAGTGATGGGAATGTTGGGGAATGTTTCATTCCTCAAATCCTCTTCCTTCATATCTAGGATTCAGATCAAATGGCACTGTTGAAAAATCATTAACAGCATGAAGCCTCTGATGACTGTTACTTACAGGAGAGTGATCAGGTGACCATGCAATGAAGACCCATTCATATCCTTGAGCGTTCTGAGAATCTAATCTGTATAATATGTAACATGGTTGCTTGTCTTCAAGAAGGGGAAGGACAAAGGCATCATAATCCTTTTCCCATGATCCAACTGGCCGCCTAGAGGATCCCAATATAAGCTGCTCTATAACCAATAACCAAAGCTACAGATTAGCAACAATACAGTTAATATTGTTTTTCAAAATTAGCAATTACAATAAACAGTTAACCAGACAGTTCATCTTTCATAATTATGTCCACAAGAATGGAAGTCAAGAGCAGTCAGTGTGAAAGCCAGTGGATTCCTACCAAAGCTGTGTATGTTCAAACCCTAACTTACTTTAACCCAAATACAAGTAGTTGAGAAGTAATGTGCTGGTTGTCATCAGGTTCTTTGATCTGAAGGGATAAGACTGATGTTAGTGTTTTTAGCATAATGCACACAGAAAGGAAATAAAACCTGTCTTCTGCCAGTTAGTTTATTTTTAAATTGGAATGCTTAAGTAGAAACAAGATGAGAGTACACTTTTAAATTTTAGAATTAGAATTATTGATGCAATTGCTGTAACATATTAGTGTTTGTACTCATTGTAAGGAGTCAATAACTCAGTTATACAGTGAAAAGAATTTGGAGTGAATATGCTTGTACTAATCACTTTAACTTGACTATGTCAGTAGATAAACCTCTTTCCAATACAGCTTCATAACTATGGTCTCTTTAAATGACTGAAGTTGTTTATTATGTATAATTGGCTTAAGTCTGTATAGACTACTTCAGATGAGATTTAATTATGTGAACAGCTGTAGCAACAAGATTCTTCTCCTATTTATAAACCACATCTCAGCTTCCAAATGAGAGTATTAGTGTAGTGTCTTTCAAAACATTTATCAGCTTCCCAATAAATACTAGCCCCTACAACCAAAAAGAAATACCTTGTTTAAACAGGATCCTACAACAGTCTGAGGACCATCATAGTAGCTAGTATACAAAATATCTTTTGAGAGTCTAGGACCTAACTTCTAAAACTTCAGACAAAAGTACAACAGTATACAAATGCCTCTACAGCAAAACTTTCAGAGCAAGGCACTCTACCACAGTAAGTCACAGAACTTGAACAGCTCAGGGAGAGCGTGTCTGGCCCTTCTCTGAATTAGATGCAAAGTAGCTGAAGTTGTACACCTAGACCAGAGTATTCAGAACGTACTTGCCAATTCTGAACTCTAGCTGGCTTTATACTCACTTGGATTTAAGATAGAAAAATACAGTCAGAGGAACTCTATTGCCCAGCAGCAAACCTCTTCTGTTACTAACTCAGATTAGCAGAACTCAATTTGACTATTATCTGTTGACTAAGGACAGTTGCCGAAAGCTCCGGCAGACATATGAGGCAACTGTCCCTCTTCCAGTATTCTGGAAATTTTAGAGGTTTCTTTTTGAACTGTGGAAACAGTATCAAAGACTGGATTCTTCTTCTACATACGGACAAAATGCATATATACGTCTACACACAAACACATACACAAACAAAAAAATAGGGAATGTCTTCCATTTGTATCTTATTTCCAGGCTTCATTTCATTATTAAAAAGTAGCATACACAGAAAAGCATAGTGTTTTAGCTTGCCTAATGGGAAAAAAAAATTCAGTGGTATGCCACCATTTGCTACCTTGTGCTAGTGAGACTTTACCACAGTGACCTGCCTATAATATTACTACTGCCACTTCCTTAAGGAAAGCAGTAATAAAATGTCAGAAGACTTCCTAAGAAAAGCAAACACAAAGAAGGTAACAGTAGTTTATTTACCTAACAATAAAAGTATGTTTGTGTATGTACCTGTACATACATGTACCTTTCTCCAGCTAACAGGTATTTCAGTGTACTGTAAATGAATAAACTCTAGAAAGAACAAAGAACCCAAGATGGGCATTTGACGTACTTGAAAAGATGGACTAAACCATGAAGTGTCTTATACAGTCAACCAGCATTGCTATTAAAAAAAACCCCAACCAACTACACATTCCATCTTGCAATGTTTGCAGCCTTGATCACTTGCCAAGAAGTTCAAAGATCAAACTCAAGTTCTGCAAGAAAATATGTAATTTTATATACATATATGTGAGATTTAAGTGAACAGGTTTAGCTTTGAAAATTTGTACAAAGTTACAGATTTTCAAAGATATTTTCTATGAAGCCATGATTACTACGTAAACATCTGCTTTAATAGGACTTTCTACGTGCAGCTTGTCCTGTTTTCGGCTGGGGTAGAGTTAATTTTCTTCCTAGTAGCAGGCATAGTGCTGTGTTTTGGATTTAGTAGGAGAAGAATGTTGACAACACGCTGATGTTTTAGTTGTTGCTAAGTACTGCTTATGCTAGGCAAGGACTTTTCAGCTTCCCATGCTCTGCCAGGTGCACAAGAAGCTGGGAGGGAGCACAGCCAGGACAGCTGATCCAAACTGACCAATGGGCTATTCCATACCATATGGCGTCATGCTCAGTATAGAAACTGGGGGGGGTTGGCTGGGGGCAGCGATCGCTGCTTGGGAACTGCCTGATTATTGGTCGGCAGGTGGTAAGCAATTGCACTCTGCATCACTTGCTTTGTATATTATTATTATTATATTGTTATTGTTATTATCATTACCATTTTACTTTATTTCAATTATTAAACTGTTCTTATCTCAAGCCAGGAGTGTTTCTTACTCTTACCCCTCCAATTCTCTCCCCCATCCCATCAGAGTAGGGGGAGTGAGTGAGTGGCTGCGTGGTGCTTAGTTGCTGGCTGGGGCTAAACCACGACAAGCTGATCCAAGTATAAAACGCAGATAACATTTATACTTCATCTGAAGTGACTAGCTGCTGTGTGAAAATCTCTCTGTCTAATGAAAGTAACCAAAGTGCCAAAACACTACACAGGTGAGGACTTCTTTTTCCTCTACTCCTTCTTTAGTAAGGTAAGAGTAAGCTCATTTATATTATCCATATGAAATACACTGCAGTTCTTGGTAAAATTTCAAATGACATTTGGAAGAGAAATTCAAATACAAAAATACAGTAGCATCATACTGAAAAGCTTAGCATCACCAAAACTTAAACTTTACCTTCTGTATGTGAAAAACGTTAGTAATGTTAAGTTTTGCAGAGTTTCATTTTTTAAACAATTCTACATGTAGGTCACTAAAACAACTAGGAAAATATCTAAAAGAATCAGAGAAAAAGATTAAAATTTGACTAACCATTGTCAATTACTATTTTTAAAAGCCTGTATTGTCCATTTCTGGCTCCAACAAAGGTGTCTTTAACGCTTCCACTAGCTGAAAAAGAGAAACATGAAAGTAACCAAATTAACACACTTCAGCTTCCTAGGACAAAGTATATTCACGAAGGTAAGAACAACACTGGAAATGCATACAACTGGCCCTTCACTGCAAAGCTGGACTGAAAAAAGGAACATGGGCATGACGTTCCCTCTATGCTGCATACTGTTCCAGCCACTGGCATGCCACAAAAAGATGACAGGCAACACTACAAAACAGCCCCGCTTTCTAGCATACCGTATGATTTTCAACATTGTGAAAATTAAAGGTGACATCACATCATCACCCTCAGGTTTCGGTTAACGCAGCAACACAATAAAAATATGACGCATCTCAAACGTTCCCTCTATGCTGCATACTGTTCCAGCCACTGGCATGCCACAAAAAGATGACAGGCAACACTACAAAACAGCCCCGCTTTCTAGCATACCGTATGATTTTCAACATTGTGAAAATTAAAGGTGACATCACATCATCACCCTCAGAACGCAGCAACACAATAAAAATATGACACATCTCAAATTACAATAGCTTCATGAAGTCTGCAGGCTTAGTACAAACTTTCAGACAGAAACTTTACACCTGCCAGGAAATGTTAGAGCTTATCTGGCAAAAGTACCGGTTTTTCCTGAGGACACCTCTCTGAAGAGTACCGATGAAGGCTGCCACCCATTGCTCATCTTTCATATCACTTTATCTCCTTGTATGCATCTTGATGACATTGTTCAAACCCTGACCTACTGCAACAGGATAGCTTTATAATGAATTTACAAAGAAGTAACTAAAAATATTTTCAAGTGTCCGTAATTCATACTGATACTACAGTGCAAACATTATAGACTTGCTTCCCTAAGCATACTGAAGAATTGTGCTTGAGTCATAGAATCATTTAGGTTGGATCATTCTTACCTCAACTTCTCTGCTAAATAATCTGAGTGCAAATCAGTTTAATTATACCATAGACAGGGGGTTGTAGAGCATTTATTGCAGAACATTTATTGCAAGCTGGTCCTTCAAGTAATCCCACAGCATACGGCATAGCATCAGCAAAACAAACACCAAACCAGGAAACAAATAAAAAGGATTATTTATAGCCAGGTTGAGGCCAACTGAACAGATGGTCAGATGGTATCCAGCAACATTACTGCCCATACTCAAAACATTTTAAATTTATGCCCATCGAAGTGATGTCCAGACCCATTCTAAAATTCCAAAATGATATGGGAGGGGAAAGGGGTGTTAAACAAGCTGAACTGCATCAGGTTACCAAGTCCAACCCCAGTTTCATCCCAGTTAGCATCTTCCCAACTAAGCAGTGCAGACCTGCACTGTAATTTGCTGCCAGCTTTTCTAATTGTCTCTGCCAATCCTCACCATTCTACTCAGCACACAAACACTGCACCACTTTCTAGACCTTCTGGTTCCCCCAGGACTTTTTTTTTTGTCCTCTTGTCTATTATCTTTTTGTTCTTTATCCCCTCATTTCAACCCTACACACCAAAGCAAGACCAAAATACAGTAGTCCCTGCACCAATACCAGAGCTGTGACAGCTCCTGAAGTAACATTTTGAGACAAGATGTTTGAGAAACCATCTCACTATCAACTGATCTACGCTTTTTTTTTTCCGTAAAGGTTTTAAAATTCACAACAGAGTGATACTATTTTCTGCAAAGCAGAGACCTACAGAATTAAAATTTGTGGTTATTTCACAAATATTTTACAGGGAATATTATTTAAAGATTCCTTAGAAGACTGTGAACATATTCTAGTGTATTTTCCCACAGCTCCATGCATTCTGTGACTTGCTACACTATTCATCTGCACTGGCCTGTTTGAAAGTCCAGTCCTTTTAGCAACCGCCTGGTACATTTCACTGTCCCCATGACTTCATTCCTGTTTCCAGAAAAGAGCAGCCCATGCTGTCAAATCTTGCAATTGTTTATGAGCGACAGTAGCCTGTTTGTGCTAAAGCCAGCAATGGCACAACAAGTGCTATTCCTCTTCCAAATTGCAGAAGCGGATGCTTTGCTGCAAACAGAACCCCTGATTAGTGCCTGCCCAGGCAGGATGCGTGCAGGAAAGCTGCCGAGTTCTCTATAGCTCTCCTCAGAGGACAAAAGATTCTCAAAGAGATGAAGGAGAGCAGCAGAAGAGGCTTAGCCGCTCTTCTTGCTTGTGGTAAGCAACAGGATATTCTGCCGCTCCTCCCTCCAGCATTGCCAGGGAAGAGAACAAGGCAATGAAGAGCCACTATAACAGTTTTCCCCAGCCTGGGAAAAAAGCTATCCCAAATGCACCTCCAGCCTGAGAAGGGTTGAAGAACTTAAAACAAGAAGCAGCAAAAGAAGAGCAAGGATTGGCATGCAGGGGAAGGAAAAGAAGAGAGGCGAAAGGGTGCAGACCAAATGCAGCCAACGGACAAAAAAGGCAACAGAAGAGCAGTTAAGAGCTTCCGTGGCTAGGACAAAAGTCACCTTCAACAGTAAATATGGGAGAGCAGGCAAAGTACACCGTACTAGTCACCAAACAGGCAGATTGCAGAAATCGAGACAGTAAAACCCAATCCCCCCCTCCCTCGTAATCCTTCAGCGTAATCCCTGCTTAGCAATTCTGTGATTTGGGGGGACCCGGTAATACTGAGAAACAATACACTATCTTCTTCTAATTGCTCCTCACACCCTCCAAGGCCTGGAAACATGAGGGGAAAAAAGGTTCCCCCACACTCTTCCCCTTTGTGGCCTCCAGCGATGGGCTTTTTAGTGGGCTTGCCTACTCTGGGGCTCCTGGTTCTCCTCAGGGCTCCCGCTACAAGACACCCAGCAGCCACCCTCGCCATTTCCCCTGCTGTCCAACCCATCCCAAGCCCGCTGCGGGGACCCCGAGCAGGCGACGGCTTCTCCG